ACTAGATTAGATAATGTAATGTATCACTAAATTTCATGTTAACTACTGCAAAGCCATTTTAAAGCTTTATCTACAGTACTGTGTATGTTAGGTTTAGATTTTTCCTTTGTTCATATCTTATTTCTTTGCATAAACTCATATTTGCTTTCTATATTGATATCCAAGTACAGTCTTTAAAACCAAGTAAGGTACAAACAGGAGAGATATGTACTGTCAAGATAAGCTCTTGCTATATCTTTCTGATAAATACTCTTTTGGGCATTCTGTTGTGCAATTGCAGGAAACAGTCTAAATTCTCTTTTACTAAACACATGAAAATCTGATTCAACACTTCTAAAACGAATCTGGCTTTCAAAGGTGCCAGAGCAAAATCTGGGTTCAAGCTATCGTGTTTGATTATGATTATTGCTTAGAAAGTGAGTTTCACATATGCTGGTATATATTCCAAACTTCGAAGGTCAACAGATACTCAGCAACATAATGTGAAAACAACAGTAATATCATGGCTGAGAGATACTTTAATCAAAGTAATTTCTCTGGCCAGGGAGAGGAAGAGTCCCACCTGTCATAATCCAATGCCTCTGCCTGCTCCAAGAAGGGGTTTAAGCACGGTAGTGTAAAATCCCTTTTTTAAGAATTTCATCCTTAAAGATCCTTACGGATTTCATCCTTAAAAATCTTTGGATTTGAGGCTTAAACCTGCCTCAAGATCCTTTGATTCAACATAGATTTAAGGGAATGCCCTCTTCCATGCAGTTGCCTTGACACAAGGAGAAATTAGCAGGAAGTTCTAGGAAAAATAGATAAGCCTCTCAGAGAGGTAATTTCCTTACTTCAGTGGAAAAAAAGTTGTCCCTTCAGAGTAAACCTCTCCTCGAATGTGCTGGAAAGTATGATAGTTTTTTTCTGACTGCTGTTTTAGGATTCTAGCTCAAAATCAAGCCTTCCTAGTGATACCTGACTACAAGAGTACTCTGGACATGCCAGAGAAAAGGAAGCTGAAGCAAGCATTCAGTAGGAGGCTCTACAGGTGCTTTGAAGATCTGTCTTTCAGAAGAATTGAGTATCAATGTCAGGGTATTTGCTTTTTAAGTTATTCAATATATTTATTCTTGCATTTTAAATAATTTGAAAAGGAAAATAATCTGACAACAATTTTTAAGTACAGCTGTTGTATACATATGCAAAACATAGGGATGTTTGCAATACAGTATATATGATGGCATTTATAGTGCTGTTTTTGTCTTCTCTCCATCATTAAGAAATCTTTCTGAGTAAACAAGTGTATTAGTTTCATTTCCCTGGCTAGTGTGCCATGCAAAGGAAGATATAGTTAGAGAAGCTCTAACTCCTCTAAAGCTTGGCTTTTTACCAAACTCAGTAAGTGAAATCAATGGGAAAATGCACAGGGCATTAACAAGCGCTGATGGGAAGGAGGAACCAGTTTTAAACCCTTTGCCATAGGAATACTGCTATTTTTCATGCAAAGACTTATAAACATCCTTCCTCAGAATCAGTGGTAAAACTGAGTGTGTGAAATCTTACTCTCCCCTCCCACTACATCCCCTCTCCCTTCTTCATTGGGTAAAGAAGCAGTCATTGGTTTTTAAATTTTTTTTTTAACCATTGGCTCCTAGGGCTATATGAATCAATACACTTGATGCGGGTAGCAAATGCAAGGTTGCCACTGATTTTATCTGTGAAATGTATCATGATTGTGTTTCCAATTTATAAAAGTTCTTTTTTTTCTATTGCATTAATAATCACATTATGATTTGGTTGCCTTGACATGTGCCCGCAAAGTGAAAAAACACAAGCAGAGAGACATGCTCAAAGAACAAGAAATGTGTAGACTTAGGTGAAATGTGCACAGTTGATTTGAAAGTATCAGCATGTCATGAAAAAATAATTAAATTCAGAGGTGAGAAAATGGGGCTTCATTTGATGGGTCATGTTATGATGGGCACCTAAAGGATTGAGTTAGATTCTGGCTTTTACTTAGGCAGCACCTCCTATGATTTTTTTTTTTATCTTACAAATGTGTGCTTGAGCTTAATCATTAGGACAAATGCTTCCTCTTTACTTTGAGGAAAAGGGACTTTGCTCAAAGCAAAAGTAAAAATAGACTCCCCAGCCCAAAGCTTACGGATGTAACTAATGATTTTCAGTACCCTAAAGTGTCCGTAGGGAGCCCCAGCAAAGTAGGCATCCAAAATCCTGGCTCATTTGAAATTCTTCATCTTTATATATGAAGGTATCATATTCAAGTGACACATCATAGAGCTGAACTGTGGATCTCCTTGCCACAGGATATTCTGATTGCTGAATGTTTATGTGGAATCAAAAGGGAATGCAAAAATAACAGAAGAAAAGTAAGAGTGCTATTAAATATCATAGAATCATAGAATCATAGAATGGTTAAGGTTGGAAGGGACCTCAGAGGTCATCGAGTCCAACCCCCTTGCTCACGCAGGGTCACCTAGAGCACGTGGCACAGGGCGGCATCCAAGCAGGTTTTAAAGATCTCCAAAGAAGGAGACTCCACCTCTCTGGGCAGCCTGTTCCAGCCTCTTCTGCCCCAGCTGAAGATCTGTGCCTGCAAATCCAAGTACATTCCTTAAGGTAAGATGTGTTAAGGCAAATATAAAAAAATGTCTCTCAGGAATCCCCTGAGGCACAGATTACTGGAAATTGGCAGAGCTGCAAAGTGTCCTTATGTCTGCCTCATTATCTTCCTCATATATATGTTACTGGTCACTGCTGGAACAGGATGCACTGACTGGTTTAGTAACGCTGCTCCCACATGACTGCATTAGGTAGCACCACACAGACAGGAACGAGCCCTAAATCTTTCTTCTTACCTATGGCTTGATAGTGATGCTAACACAAGCCCCAACAAATAAACTTGGATTAATAAAGAAAATTTCTTTATAAAGATAAAGTAGAAATTTCTTTTCTACTCTATCCATGTTTAATATAAACATGGATCTTTCAGCTACATCTCAGTAATCATAAGAAATTAGAGAGCTGCTTTATTGATGATAGGAGTCAGAAAGTCAGATGAAGAATTTTGAGTGCCAAGCGTAACACCAGGTAGAGATGAGTGAAGCTGAGTGAAAAGCAGCTCAGTTAGTGAACCTACAACCAAAGCCAGGCAAGGTAATGATGAAGAGGAATTGGAACTTATTCAGTGCTACTTTACTTTTCAAAATGACTGAAACTGAGAAAAAAAGAACAAATGGAAGATACCTCAGCACAGGCAGTTAAATCACGTGGCCTAGACCTCTTGAAATCAGGGCACTTTAAGGAATTATAGTTCCTTTGCTTCTAAAGGTTAGCTTTCCAGTTGCTCACATACCTATAAAATGCTGGGAACACGTGGAGGCTAGAATTTTTTTAACAATGACTTCTATTATGATACAGTAGAAAATGCTTGTGTGAAGTAAAAAAATCAGACTGATCTTATTTTCTGTGAGAAGGTGTAATTAAAGTGATTGACCAGCTAAAGTCCTCCTCAGAAGCACTTCTTGTTCTTTAGCACCGCTCACCCCTGTTAAGACCAGTCACTCCCAATGGTGCCACTAGGAGAGACAGAGTGGTGACATCTTCCCATCTTTCCACGACAGAAACCTGAACACCCTCAACATCTCATCCACTACAAACTGGGAAGCTTTGTTACAGGCTTAGTTGTACTAAACGCCTTGTGAAACACCTTGCAGGACTCATGTTCTGCACCACGTGTCTTCAAGCTCTTTTGTTTGCAGAAGTGCCACCCATCCACTGAATCAAAATTAGATACAAGATCACACATGAAAGCCTGACAAACCATTTCAAAATCCTTTGCTCTTTTGGGGTGTGGATGACATATTGCTCATATACTCCTTTTATACACTCTTACAAATCAGATATGGATTCTAAGGATTTAAAATGGCAAATAAGACACACATGAAATGCTACTAAACCTGATTTTTAAGACCTTTCTTAGCATAATTTCCTCTAAACTCACACACAAAAAACATATGCACATGTGAATCTGCTAATATTTTAGATGAGATAAAACTTGAGACAGGTATACTCAGAAGGAAATAACAGTCTATGGATTGGGTTTACATTATTAAACAAATATTTTTAATAATGTGGAGGTTAGTTACAATTGTGTGCAGTTCTTACTCATCAGGTAAAGGCATAGGTGAGGTATTCTTTTCTAAAAATTCTGTATTTAAGAAGGAATTGATATTGCAAAGCCATGCAGGTTGTGTTTTCCCAGACAAGCCAGGGCTTGATACTACATTTGCTCAATCATATCATCCATACATTTCATGTTTTCACAAGTAGATTGCTTAACACAAAATACCTCCCAAGTTTTTGCAGGAAATGTAGCTGCTGACACAGATTCTGTCCCCTGGCACCCAATATTACATCATATGTAAGACTATTTCAAACAACAAGAAAACCTTCTAACATACAGGCCAATCCCAGTATGATAAAGGAAGGATGTAACACAAGGAATCACAATTGAATTCATTCAAAGCAATGGGAACAGTCTCCAAAGTTCACTTTTATCTACTTTACATAGAGGGAATGCAGGTAAGACTGTACATATTTACATGGAATCACAACCTGGAAGCACAGTTCACTTCTCTCTTTCTCCTATTACTGACTTCATGTCTGCACAGCAGTTTGAACATATGAAGTGCTACATAAGTACTCAATATTTGAGTGATCACCTGTTACCACAAACTGACTGAATCTGCTATATGGAATGAAATACTCTTTTCATTATCCTGAAAAATAGAAAACCTCAGCCAGGAAGGCAAGGCTGCTTCATTCAACTCAAGGTCACTGCAGGAGTTTCAATTGCATCTTCAATTCAGAGACAGAGCTGAAAGCAGACAGTCAATGAACTAAAGCATGATACTCTGCTGAGCAAATCGAACTGCTGAATTACACATGACCATTCTGTTTATTGTTACTTTCTAACTTGGTTAATTTTCTCTTACCTGAAAGTCAGTAGTCCAAGTGCCTCCAGAGGGTTAGAAAATCTCCATCTCCTCAACACAGCATACATTTCTGACACAGTTGTCCGATCCCAACTGGGTGCACTGCCCAGTACCAAAGGAAGGGAACAATTTTCATGATTGCAGTAGTAACGATAAAACCACAATATTCTTCTCTTTTGCTCTGGGAGTCTGGAAGAGAAGATTAGAAATTCAGTTTGAAATTAAAACCACCTGGAGCTTTGTGTAGCAACAAACTTTATTGTATAGAGAGGCCAAGTCATACAGTATGCAGCTTTTTGGCTAAGTATTGTTTTCCTTGGGGTATCATTTTCTGCAGACCAGCTCTTATAAGAAAAGTGCTACTTATACTCTGAAACTGTCAGCCTTGGGTCATATAAAAATGAAGTGTCAAAAGATACAGACATATTATTTGACTTCCCAAGTGCTCTCATCTCCTTTATCCTTGTTGTTGGTTTTGTTTGTTTGTTTGTACTGGGGTTTTTCAATCTAGACAATAAAACAGAGACAGTACAGTTCTTCCTGGATAAATTATTGTTACATCCATCTGCTCCACACCATCTCTAATTAACTGTGGTAATAACCCAGAACCCTGCTGACCATAACTTTTATTCCCACTCTTGTTTTGGTCATTTAGTATAGTTTTATCTTTTTTTTTTTAGTCTATTTGCATTTAAAATGGGGTTTAGATACATACACACATGTACACAAGTACACAGGCAGGCTTCCGTGGAGTGATTTTACCTAGTATTTGTACGACTTTGAAGAGAAGGAAAGCTCATAGCATATTATGCTTCACTGTACTTAAAAATAAAAAAGGATACAATGCTGACTTTCTTGCAGAGATATTAGGTGGCTGAATGGCATATTGATAAAATGCTTCATCACTACTCCACATTTTACCACAGAGAGAAGTACTTCAGAATAATTCTTGCTATATAACCTGATTTGTCAGCAATTTCTGCCTTGTGTATATTAAATCTTGGGTTTCAGTATCATCAGAAAATAAAAAAAAAAAAGGAATTCCTATAAGAGAAAAGCTCTGGCAGACTTCATTTGATATTAGAGCCCTCAAAAACAAACTTTGAGAACATAAAGTAATCTCCAGTTGGCACAAATCATTACTGGAGCCAAGAGGAACATGGGCTTTTTTTGTCCTACTGGAATCTATCTGTGATCCACCTGATTGCTTTGATTTCCTAACTGTGCCATTAAGCAGACCTAGATATTTCAGAAAAGGTGAGAGAAATGTTGTAGAAGGCAGTGAGAAATTTTTCTCCAGGCAAGAGTTTTGTTATCTCAAAATGTAAGCCAGGCTGAAAATCCAAATGTTTGCATCTTTTTCAAAGTCTTTTTCCTTCTATTTGCAAAAATTTGGGGCATTTTCAGCCAAGCAATCATCTTATTTCTTCTTGACAGGAACACAGACTTTTTTAAACATTCACAAGAATGAATGTTTATTCCTTTCCACCAAGAGAGTAAGCTCATAAACGCATGCCCAGGAAGAACCTACCTACGATATAAATTCCATCTTGACTTTTAGAAATAATTTAAATAAACGTATCCTACTTGTGGTGTCAGACTTCACAGCATGTATTTCAGGACAACAACAAACCTCTATGTTTGTGTGATGCACAATTCACAAACAGAAAGAAAGAGATTAAGGGAGACCTGAGGGTCTACTGCCTATCTGTCTGTCTTCGATTTCATTCAGGTGGTATTCAGCAGTTCAGTTAAATGACCCCTTTTATATGTTGACTTTAAACAGAGATTTTTAATCTTCTAAACAGCATCTTCCACACTAGACAATCTGCTTTTCAGATTAAAGCAGCTAAAGTCTCCACTGAGTTTGTGGAAGATGATAAGAAATCAATCCTTGTATCAGGTTTTCTAAATCACAGGTTTCTCTCACCTGCTCCTCTCTAGAGGCAATGCTGCTTTCTCTTTCCAGCCTTTTGCTATAGAAACCTTGATTAACTTATTTAAAGATTTGAGCTGAGATTAGGAATTTGAGATTTTCATATTAGTTTCTGAGCTGTAATAAAAACTTACATACACATATGACTAGATATTTAACATAGGTAGTAAAAGTATTTTGCATATATATAGCATCAGAATATTTTTATGCTAATAAGGTCATTTCTTTTGGATAAGCTGCCAATATTTTTGTTGAGAAAAATGTGGTTTATATTTTTTTTGGTCATGCCATTTCTGATTTTTTCCCCACAAAATAACTACATTAAAATATCTATCTTTTTACTCAAGAAATATAGGAGGAAAAAAATCATATAAAAACCTAAATAATTCAATAGCTTCCATTTTGATAATTTTCATTAATCCCTTTAGCTAAAGAAATTTTCATTAATTCCTTTAGCTAAAGAAAGGGAAGAAAGTGTAGCTATCTTATCTTAATTTTTATTTTGTAAGGGAAATTGTAGAAATGAGTTTAAATGCTTCCAAGCTGTTTTTCCTGTATCCGTTCTGTCAAAAAAACAGAATAGAAGAAGAGAGACATAAAAGTAAAGCTAGAAAATGCAAATTCCTGTCCCTAGCAAGACTCTCAGTTGTAAGTTTCGGTCCTATGGACAGACAAGTGGATTGTACAGTTTCAGTGCCCTTTTTAAGACCTGACAGACTTGCTCAACTTGACAGCCTGTAAGTAGCATTTCTAATCAGAATTCATAGCCAATACACTCTACTGATGACTGGTAAATAAACTAGGTTCTCACTAGATGAGTGGCACAAAGGAAAAAGAGAAGCTAGAAGAGAGGGAGAAAAACGAGGTAGAAAGAAAACGATGAACGAAGAAAAGGTAGGAAAGTGACAAAAACAAGGCTATCCTCTTCTTGCCTTCAAACCAAGTTCTGATCCTTCCATTGGCAGCCACTGTTCACAATCAGGTGGTATCACACTCGAAGAGCAGCCCTTATTTCAGATGGTTGGTTTTCTGTGGTTTTGTATTTCAAATGTAGCAATCCTAACAAGAATCAAAGGCTTATATCTCTCCATACATCTCATATATAGCCAATAAAGGTTATATCAACTGTTTTCAGAAGTCAGCCAAAGCTGCTGGCTGTGGCTAATGATCGCTTTTGGTCCTGTCTTTCTCACCCTACCTGGTTAGGGTGTCAAAGGCAGTGCAGAGCACAGGGCTGCAGGATTGCAATAGCCTAAAAGTGAGCTAAAGTGTGTTTGCCTCCAGCCCCACTGATTCCTCCAGTGACCATCACTAAACAACATTCAGTGCCACAGGGACCACTAGCCTAGGCCAGTTACCAGAGAGACAAGGAAGCTGGAGACAGGAGGCACCATCTGTTTGTTCCAGCTAGCAGAGAGACCCATGTCTGTGTAGTGAGAAATGGTCCAAGTGCCTGAGTGCATCTGTGCACCTTGGGGGCTTGTACATTTGGGTGCTAGCAACCAAGAAGAGTGGGGATCAGTAACTGCAGACTGCTTAAGACCAGCTGCGGGAGGGACTGGTGTTTTAGTAATTGATACAGGTAAGCATGCATACATATTCATGCATATCAGGGTCATGCAGGGTCAGCCATATGCTCTAGGTGACCCTGTGCAGGAGGGTTGGATTAGATGGTCTCTAAAGGTTCCTTCCAACCTTAATGATTCTATGATATGTTCCTCTAGCGGACTTTTGTCCAGACCAGACAGAACAAAACTTGTGTATCTGTGCTGCTTATGTCTCTGGGAGCAGTGTGTGCTTTTGTGGGGGTTGGTAAGGAACGTTTTCTTCCTGTGTTGATGTGCTGTCTACCACAGCAGCCTCACATCCATCAGGATCCTCAATGTAGCAGCCTCTAATAAGGACAGCCACATGGTTAGCTAGTTTTAACCATTCTTTCTATTTTTTTCCTTTTTTTTTTCCCTGAAATAGGGTAAATAACATTTTCTGTTCATCTGCATATTCATTCTGCTTTCAGAAGGATCACTACTGTTTCAGACAGACTCTTACATCTTCTGCCACAGACATTCATTATTTCCAAATCATACCTGAGGTTTGCAGGCCTGAAGCATCATACAGACATATTGCCACTGAATGACTGTCTTTCTTTCCTTTTATACACATAAAAAAGACAGGAAGACATCTAGAAATTTTATGATAATAATGTGCTTGGATATAAAGATATTGTTATATTCGTTCCTAATAAACTTCTGTTACATCTTAAGAAAAAAAAAAAAAAAAGGTTACTTTGCCTCTGATACAAATAGAACAAAAATCACAGACAAAAATCACAGACTTAATAAAAATGGACTTCCTTCATTTCCATCTCAAATATTCCATCCTTCACCTTGATGAATTATTTGGTTGACTGCTTGCTCAAGAGATGCGAAAACGGAAAAAAAACAAGGTGTGAAAAAAAGTCTCCAATAATCTTCAACTATGGAAGCTATACTAGCAGATACACTTGTCTCTGATCTACAAACTTCCTAGTACCTAAAAAAAAATGTATTTATGACTCCACCACCTTATGAAGTACCACCACCTTGAATGAACTTATAAATAATTTATAGAATAATAAAGCATGCTGCATGCTACAATGAAACACTCCATAACAGCAAATCCTGAGAAAGCATATGAATGAAGAAAGCCACAGTCATCTGTGGCTCCTTCGTGGAGGGGAAAGTCAAGGGAAAAAAAAAAGGACATTTCAGAGTGACACTGTTAACTCTGAGACTCATCATTTATTGTGGATAGAGGCATGACTCATTGGCCTGAAGTTCCCCAGAATTACAACTGGAGTTGTTCTTGCAGGTGGAGATTGTGCTGGCAAATTGTCAGTGGCATTGGTTATTTGCAATATTATTTGCAATAAAATACTGATCTCCAATTCATTCTTAAAAATAAAATCAAATAAGATCTAAAATACTAAGGTTAATAATAAATAACTCTAAATTTCATCCTGACTTTTCAAAAAAATATCAATGTTAAATATTCTTTTTTTTAACATATATAAAAGAATCATTTTCTTTTCTTGTTGGAAAACTAATGCATCTTTTGTTACTTTTAGTTTAATTAATACAATTAACTGTGACTGGTATAAACTCCCTGTAAGCAAGTATGTTCCAAATTCCACTATGGTTAAATCTAGAATTCTTGTTTTATATACTACTTAATGCTACTCAATAATGTAACCTACCCATTTCTGCGATTACTCCTCTGCTCTAGTATTCACAGTGAGCTTTGTTTCATTTTGTCCTTAATGTGCATCTATGAAAGCCAATTTTGCATACTCCTTTCCTTGTTTATAAAGGAACTTGACCAAGATTGTCCTTCTAATGATTATATGTTATTTAGCAACTGTGTGTTCACAGTTTGAGCTTATTATTATTAAGGGATGATAATTTTCATAGAACTTCAAGTCTCTCTGGCTAATATTGATGCAGATTTATTGCTGAAAACTGATTCACCTGAAAATTTTGTTTTAAATAAGAAATTGGTCTCTCACTTCAAGGATGTGAAAAGATAAAAGAATAGAAAGAAAACAAACAAATCCAGTCCTTTTCTAAATCAGTGAAACAATGCTACCTCAAAGAGTTTAGTTAGGCTTCACGGTGATCTCTAATTTACAGGTGTTAGTTTCGCAAATGAACCATTCTAGGTTCAGAGAAAAATTTCGTTTTTGAAGAATGGGATACATCTAACTGCAATCGATAGCATAAATACAGCAGCCAAGAGTCAGCAGAGCTATCTGAGTACAACTTACAGCAAGAGACAATGTGTCTGTGAAAGTCTTGCAATATGCTTCAGGCACTCCTTAGTTGGCTCTTCAAGATTGTCTCTTTTCTCTTCAGGTTCAGGTTTAATGAACTCCAAGTTGGTTTCTGGAAAGTCAATCTTAAATACAAAAAAAAAAAAAAAAAAAAAAAAAAAAAAAAAAAAAAAAAAAAGAGAGAGAGAAATTACACCGAAATGATGGGTAGTTCTCTGAAAATGTTCACTTCATGTTTGCATAAATACATATGCCTGACCCACCAAATAATAACGTAAATAAGCGTAAATAAGTATAATATAAAGAATATAAACCTGACACACCAAAGTCAGTGGGCATTTTGTCACTGAAGAATTTCCTCCATTATATTTCAGTTTTAATATAATTGGATAGAATTAAAAGCTTAAGGTTTTTTTTTTTCCCTTTCTCCTCTCCCTTGCTAGTTCTTAATGAGATGGATCTGAAATAGAAAGTATCCATTAACATCAGATTTTTTTTCCCCAAAGAATGCAAAAATAATTGTATGTGCAACTGCATGTGCATTTGTCAATGTCAAAGAAAGAAAACAGTTTTCTAATTTCAATTCTGGATATTCAATTTCATGTATATCATACAGTTTCTACTGATTTTCATTCTTTGCACTTCCAGATGGGCCTCAGAAATGCAAAGTTTAAGAGTAATATTTTCTAAGGAAGAGAGGAAATAAAGCAAAGTTACAAAGTTTGAGGTGTTTGGGTGAAAGTTCAGATTATTCTTTAAAATCCAGCTCAGCTTGCATATCCAACTGTGGCTGTTAGATCACACTGTAATAAGGGCAGGTAAGTAGGATAAAAGGATCTCTTATCTATTTATTTGATATATATCTCTCTTCTGATGATCAACAAGAGAATCCATTATAAAATGCAAGTGCCATATCAGTAACTCAGAAAACTATTTTTATGGCAGTATTTCCAACACAGAGACTAATACTCAGTCACGTACATGGGAATAATTGAGAAAAAGTCAGGAAAAAAAGAGAATCTTTCCTGTCCAGTTTCTTTCAGTAGAGAGAGAGAGATAATAAATTTACTGTCTCAATTTTCCTACATTATTAATAAAAAGCTATTTCAAGGAGTCTTCTTTGACTAAGCTCTTCAGAGTAGAAAATCTCCATTTGCTTGTCTATGAAAAAAAGACCATTTTTAGGCTAGCCTCATTGATCTGTATTATCGGCTATTGTGCGTTATTTGCCAATGATAATTCAACTTTTTAATACAAAATGCAATTGGTTTTGACATTTATGTACCCAGTTACTCATCCAACCTGGAAAAGTAACAAAACGACCAAGAAGACTTAATGTATTTTCAATATACAGAGCCCTATTCCATCCAGAGTTAGAGTTGCCCAGCATGTATATATAGAGAGAGCTATACTGATAAATACATATGTTCAGTGTGCAGCTATTTTCCTTACAGAACCTTTATGCTACTCAGTTTAATTGCAAGCTGAATGGTACTGTATCCTACATTTATAGCACCACATAGTTCAGTAATACTTGGAACAGAAGTTCAGATTAGAAAAGGCAGCTGTAAGTCAGGTACCAGGTGAGTAATTTATGCCAAACTATTTCTGGAACAAAAATAACAACAAAAATTGCCTCTCTCTAGCCCTCACATGTGGTATTTTATACAGGAAGTATCATATATATTTGCCATTGTGCAGAATTATACTATTCCATCCCTTTGGAAAACTGTGACATGGAAGCAAAAATGGAATTACAAAAAAAAAGTGCTGTAATGAGAAAAAAGATTTTTAATTTATGGTCTCGATGAGTTGTGGGAACAACCATTTTTCCTAGACTTTGTTAGAAAACAACATTTCACTTTGCTTTTTCATATAATAATTCTTACCTGCAATGTTACTGGGGCTGCAATATCAGAACTGCAGATGCCCGGGGCAATCATCGTTGTTGGAAATGTGCTGTACAATGTCATGCTAAGCAGCACAGTGCCATGAATGAACTTTCTGCAAATGCCAAGAAACACAGGCAAAAGTACTGTATCAGTACTGGAGAAATGGTGAACAAGGATTACAGAAATTTTATCAAAAAACATGGTACTGGATGGCTTACGAGGTAAGTGACAGGAGATCAAGCCTTTTATCTTTACATGGCCAGCACACACCTGGCCTAAACCGGCTGTGGTCACAGATCGATGGCCTCTATTGCTGTGACAGTATCTGTTTTTTTCCAAGAATTACAACACAAGTCAAGGAGCTTATAAATTCTAGATCAGCTCTGAGCTTTACTACTGACTTCTTGTCTGCTAACATAGGTGTAAAAATTGGGATTATACCATATTTCTATTTCAGTATTTCATTCTGGGAATAGACTCAGAATGTCTCAGACTGTGAGACAACAACCTATTATATTAGGTGGAAATGGAGGGAAGGAAGGGTAGCATACATTTATTTCATAGAAAGAAGAAACTCATGATAACCTAAAACCATAAAGAACCCTTGCTGGTTTTATCTGTCAGGAAGAGTAGGTGGTAGGGAGGCAGGAGGAACCTTCTTGAGTCTCTGCAGAGCTGGAAGGAGTTTGAACGGGATAGTTTTGTACCACACTGCACATGGTCACTGGAGAAATGGAAGTTTATGGTCTCAAGCACCTGCCTAAGTACTACGCGCAAACAAGTCTTACCAGAAACATGCATGCATGCAGCCTGCAGAGATGAAAACTAGCCTGCTGTCAACAGGTCAACATAATTTTGTGTAGAGAACCTCAATAAAATCAGAAAGCTCAGATGGAAAATCTAATCATAATTAATCCACTTGAATTAAAAATACAGTACTTTAAAGATTTAATACACTGGACTTGCCCTTTAGCTTGTCCACATCTTAATAGCTACTGAGGAAAAGGTCAGAAATCTGATTATGCTGGACCTGTTTACTGACTGATCATTTTCATTATTGTTATTCCAAATGCTGCTCAGTTGATTGAGCTGTGAACCACAAGCTAAATTCTCCTTTGCCCACTGTAACATAAACAATTGGCCAGGTAAATGAATTTGAGTGCACAGCTATCACCAGGGGTGATGATGCTTCAGGTTTTTTCTAGGTTTTTCTCATCACAGTGTTTGCAGCATTGCCAGGAAAAAAGTATCTTTTAAGTGGCAACAGAAATAAACTGTTGTGAAGTTATCTGAAGAAGAAATAAGAAACTCCCGCAAGGTCATTTTTAGTCAACAATCAGTACAAAATTGAATTTAGGGCTAACTTTAGCTTTTCACTTCTGAAGCTATTAATGTTGTTAGTGAGACCATTTTGTTTTATTGAAAGAGGATTAAAGACAATGAAAATTTCTAAAGTTTCTTTTGCAGTGGTAGGCAGAGATGTGGGGAATGGAGGCAGAAAAAGTAACTGAGGCATGAACAAGTAGTACATTGTAGAAACCAGTTGTGTGATATGAAGTTTTTAATGTTTAGGTTGCTGAAGTGAATGGAGAACAAACCAAAGATGATTGAAATATGTTGTGATGTTTTGATGCATGACTTTTATTAAATGAGTTGTATCTCTTCAACCTTTCTCTTGCGTTTATATCATAATATGGACCAAGTGGCACATTTGTTTGTAAGAAGAGGAATAGTTGAGAATTGAATGAACATGAAGACTGAATTATCCTTTTGTGCACTTATTTTTGCCAATCGCTATCACATTAGGCTTTAAAAAAATATTAAATTTACCATGAGGATAAAGAAGAACAGGTAGATGGGCTTCTCAGTGTCCTAAAACCAGAGAAGCAGCAAAGGGATATATCTTTGTTGGACTAAGAAAATTGTTCCTATGTAAGGGCAGTGAATGGGACTGTGAGTAAAAACAGAGACATAAAACCACTTGGACAGGATGGAGATGAAATCTCGTAGTAAAAACGAATGTTAGCTAGATAAATATTTATTACCGATATATAAACCATCCTAATGTATATGTTTACAAATGAGCAACTTATTCAGCTTCCTTCAGTAAATTACTCTTTAGACTAGCCTGGAAACTCAAGAGACATCTGAAAAACATGTGAAGAGGTGTCCACCACTGGGAATTAGGGCAATTTTTTGAGGCACAGAAGCAATCAGAACAAGAACATAACATGTCATTTAAAAAAGAAAGAAAGAAAGAAAGAAAGAAAGAAAGAAAGAAAGAAAGAAAGAAAGAAAGAAAGAAAGAAAGAAAGAAAGAAAGAAAGAAAGAAAGAAANGAAGGAAGGAAGGAAGGAAGGAAGGAAGGAAGGAAGGAAGGAAGGAAGGAAGGAAGGAAGGAAGGAAGGAAGGAAGGAAGGAAGGAAGGAAGGAAAGAAAGAAAGAAAGAAAGAAAGAAAGAAAGAAAGAAAGAAAGAAAGAAAGAAAGAAAGAAAGAAAGAAAGAGAAACAGAAAAGTGTACAGTACCTGTTCAGAAAAAGAAAGATACAACATCTAGAGCATGAAAAACATAACCTTTGCTGACAAGAGAGGTTCTTATCTCTGCTACTTGGGACTGCTGATGATTTTAGGCAGGTTACTCCACAATCTGCCCCTAACTTTTGCCCTCTATAAGGTAAGGATATTTTCTGAAGTCTGTGCAAGACCTACAAATGATCACAGGCAAAAGAGGATGTCTTCCATGATGCAACTGGAGAAGTTTTCTTCAGCAGAAAGCATGTGAGAAGGCAAATACACAAGTCCTGCTCTGAGCTTGCTGCCATTTATTTATTTACATGCTCATGCAAAGCCAGGACACACGTAACCCCCTGAAATTGTACAGATTCCCAGTTCTTGTTTATGACAGGAGCTGATGTAAACTTCCCTGCTCACAGCAGGACAGCATGGTCTAAGGACAGCTCAAGTTATTCTAATTTACAATTTTAACCTTGTGCCCTGAAGTCATGTGAGAGACTTCACTCTCCAAGCCCAGCAAGAGGGAAATTATGTTGCCTTCTCTGTCCAACTTGGAAATACCTGTTCAAAATAAATTGCGTTATTAGAATCAGTGAACTCGGAGCAATGAGCACTGTGGGAGACATTACATCTTCCAAATTGCCCCAAATGATGGATCTCTGACTTGTTAATTAGCACTAGGTCTCTAAACTATTCAGCCCAAGAGACAAAGAAGTTTTCCTCATGTGAAGGAATGGAAAGTTGGCACTCTGGTTTGCAAACACTTTTTGAGCAGCCTTTTGAGTTTAATAAGCTTTCTTGAGACATTACCCTATCAAGGGCCTTAATGACACTGATTTAGGGATACAATATATCCTATAGAAAGCCAACTATCTGATAAGAATAGGAAACACAGATGCAGAAACTAACCTCTGGGTAAGTAGGCAGCCCTGTTCTCATTCCCAAATGACTGTAACATTAATTACAGTTTAGTCTGGACATACCACTGAAATGAGAGCAAGTAATAATGCAATTACGCCCAAATCTGACATTACAAACCTCAACAATTTGGAGTTTGGGTTAAATTTAAAGAAAACTAAAATATAATTTTTTTGCCCCCCAAAATGTTTTTTAACAGTCTTAATACTGTACTAAAATGATGCCACGAAATAAATACTTTATCATAATTAAGACTATTTGAACATTCTAGAACACATAAAGGTATAGTTTTCTTTTGAAATGCTAAATATGCTACAGACATATACAAGGACCACACCTTTCATTTCATAATATCTAGTTTAAATGATCACCATAAATTTGAAGTAGCAGAATACTGCAAATAGAACATTACCAGATTATGCAAGACTCTGAAAAAGCTTCAGTTTGGTTCCCAATTCTTTCATCCTTTTTGCCCCCAAACCTATCCATATCTTTAACAAATTCATTAGCAACATTTTTAAGGTCAACAACTACATATAGGCAAACTTAGGAGATTTTTTGCAGAAAGTAAATTTTGTAAAAGGACCATTTGCAGAGAAACATAAAAGCAATAATTCAAGCATATATCTAATAAAGAGCACAGCAAGTACCTAGTACATCCATCTGCTTAACATATTTTAAACCAACAAAGCACAAAGCAATGCTCAGAACACTGTGAGATGTTGCTAGAATTCAGGAAATAATTCCAAATAAACAAATGTCAAATTTACTAACATCTACTCACTGACAAGTCTTTAATAGAATAAAAAGAGGAAACAGGTCAAATTAAAGAGATCTTTTCTAGGGTTTGTGTGGTTTGAATATGGGCAGGGTATGGGAGACATAACTAGGGTTAGAAATAGATTCCTGAATAGTATTCCTGAATAGTAATATACTTGCTTTGAATATATCTACTTTTTATATATACTACTCATACACTCTGCTCAGTTAATATGTTGTTCAGAATAGGACTAAAGTTAAAATCCCAGAGAAAAGTTATAGCCCTTTGATCTGGCACAGGACTTTGATATGCCCCTGTCCATACGGACAAGAAGCTTTCCAGACTTTTCAATACAGATGAAAGGGACTTGTACATATTATAGGTTAAAATAAGCTTTTGTTCAGCTTTTCCTAATCTTCAGTTTATACTAAAAATAAATAAGTAATCTAGTTATTAGAACACAAAGTAGAGAGTCATCATATAACGACAACAGTCATTTTGGAAGAAAAAATGGATGGTAAACTTGCAGAGAGCAGTAAATTTTCAGTCCATCAATTTTTTTTTTTTTTTTTTTTTTTTTTTTTTTTTTTTTGTGCTAGGTCATTTTAAGATCTCCAAGATTCCAAATAATATCTGGAATAGCAAAAAAAATTAATCTATTTTTTTAATACAAGAATTGTATTTTCAAATTCTGATTGTCATTTATTATATTTTTCCGATTGTTTTTCTTTCCAAGTTCTAAAGTAATTTTAAATATATATCTGTATATATATTTGAATAGGAAAGAGAGGCCACTCTCTCTCCTCCTCTTTCCTGAACTCATGAAGAATGGATCAGTGGTCAAGTAGGACAAGGACCTGAAAAGGACGTTTGATAGTCCTGGTAAAACGTTAGGGCTACTGGCTTCCTTAAAGAGCTTATTTCTCTCCTTTGTACTATAAATTAAATCCTAGAACAGTTAGATCAGTTGAGAATTTTTTACGACTCAAGCTAATTTTGTAAAAATTAGAAAAGGGATATTTTTCATTTCAGGAATGCTTAACAGAGATTTCCTAGACATTTTTTTCTTAAATCTCTGTAGATACACTTGCAATTTCTTCATGCAGAGACCAAATAGCATATTCTTTGCAATACCACACAGTACTCTCCAATGCTAGCATGACAGTACAGGTGCAAATTTTTTCTTAGTACACAGGTACAGTACACAGTTTACAGTATGGTACACAGTATTTCACATTCAGAAATACTCCACTGAAGTAAGTCTTGAAGTTTAGATTCATGCCAGGAGCAAGGTTTGGTTCATTGCTCACTTTGTTAATCTTTTCCTCAAAATTAACGAGTTAATTAAAAAAAAGGGGGCGGGGAGGGTTGTGTGAAATAAGAAATAATCTTTCAAAGTCCTACTCTTGCTGCTCAAGTGTTTCAGCTAACTAATAGTATTATCCATTCAGAACTATCTGACAGTTTTAATCCTGCCACTTTCTAAATAATTAAATTTGAGAGCTAGTTTACTCCAGTAAAAAAAAATATTCACAACTTTCAAAGGAAATTAAATAGTTGATGGGGTTCAGATACCTAAGTTTCACTTTTCAGAAGGTATTTTAGCAATACTCTTTTTAATCAGTCTATCAAATTCAAATCACAATGAATGAATAATTTTGTGCAGCTGTAGCTGGCTAAAAGAAGAAAAGGCATTTAACTTTCTCTGTGTTAGTAATTCCTATACCTGTTAATGACACAGCTAACAGTAGGGGATGATGCACATATTATTCCTAAAACATTCCTCCTCAAACAGTTCAACCTCTATTTCTGCTTCAAGGTCATTTCAGCAACGATCTCTACAACTACACGCCAGATGAAAGGAAAATAACCTTGCATTCCTTTCATTGTGCTGACAGTGTAAGCCATGAAAGAATGGAGACATTTTTCAGGAAAATTTTCAAAATTGCCTAGACTTGGGAATCTACCTAACAAAAATCACTATGCTTATTCTCAAGGTATATACGAAAAATATATAATAGAAAACAGGGTAGTTTCAAATCTTGCAAAAATCTTTGCTTTAGGACTTGAATATTGAGTATTAAGCACTAGCATGACACAGACCCTCAAGAAAAGGATGCTCAAACAGCCCGTTTATCTCCAGAGGTGCCTAAGTGTTCTCAAGCTAAGTTGCCATGCCTGGGTACATGCCCCAGACATCCAGCACACATTACCTTGCTGGAGCTGAGATCATTTCTAACACTTCAGTTCAAATTAGATTCTCAGCCAAGGTACTTTCCCTACCTATTTCACCCTATGCTTCAGAAAAATAGAAATACTGAAAAATAGGCATAATGCTTTTATTTCTTTCAAAAACACTCAATGAAAGAGTGAGTGCTGCGCTCTTCTACAGACTAGCTCACCAAGAGAGTAAGCAAAAGTCATGAAAAAAAAATGCCTTTGCATTCCTTGGAGCAGAGACTCCAGAGATTCATGTATATATGGTATGTATGTATGTGTGTATGCATTTTTCCTTCCATCCTTCCTCCCTCCCTCCTTCCTTTCTGCTAAGTGCTCTAATAACTAAGTCACAGAAGCATGTGCTCCTTCCCTGAACAAATGAATCTTGAATTCTTTTCTGGAAAGACAGAAAGTACAGCCTAACCTACAGGCTAGCTTTTTAAGCCTCTCAGCCTAAAAATTCAATGGAATCTAGTGTCTTTTATATATACTAAATGCATAAATACAATTAACGCTTCTCTCTTTTTCCCCTTCTCCCTCGCTCTCTCTCTTTCTCTGTCGTTTTGACAGAGGATGCCAGCCTGTGCAGAAGCAGATGAAGAGGTCTTAAGATGACAGAAAGTGGTACAGCTGGGGGCTGGATGCTTACACAGAAATTTGTGAGGCTTGAACATACATCTCTATTGCTCTCTGGGCACCTTGCAAGGCAGCTGCTGTGAATCTTACTCTGAGATATATAGGGATCAGGGGATGGAGTCTACATAAAAATTAAACATTATTTTAACGGCTTGATGGAAACTTAAGATGTCTTAGTGCTTATAAAATATATTTCGGGTACTGTAGAAAGTTTACCTTAAATCTTTGCTTACACATCACTGGAGAGCGACTTGAGTCTATGAGCATCTTTAAACCCCTGTCACACTGAATGTTGTGCAGAAAAGGAGAAGTTAAGAAAGAAGATAGAGCTTTAAGTGCTTTGTAGAGGGAAAGGTGCTCACTGAGGTAATCGCTAGCAGTCTCACTTTTGACACAATGAATGGACATGAGAAAAGAAACCCAATTCAGAAAATAAACAAATGTGAACAAGCAGCAAAGTCAAGAAGGATACTGGAGAGCTACAGGAAAGGGTACAGGAAGACCTTTCAACGCATCTGAGGAGCTTCATTGTAAGAAGTTAAACAATTATGGAAGCCAAATCCCAAACCAATGTATTTGGAACAACTCTGTAATCTGAAAAGCTCATGCATGGGGCTCTTACAGGCACATTAGGCTGTAAGTTACTGTCTCAATCTTGCTACAGCACACTTTCAAAAGAGTCTTTCTTTGCTTTTATATTTCCCTAAGTTTAGAGCAATTCTATTCAAGAATGCTCTTTTTTTGAAAGTTACTATACAAAGTTGAACTCACTGTTTTGGATACAATGGGCAGCATGTCCAAGCAAGCACTTCTGTATTTTTAGAGATACTGTTTGCTCCAAGTAGCTTAATTGTCAGCATAGTCTCTCTTGGAAGAGCCTTTAGTCGTAGAGGAAAGTTGATTCTAAATGAAAATCCAAAAAGAAAAAAAAATTAATAAGTGTTTTAGTCCTGTTACACAACACAGATATCAAGCCATATATAGCAAGACTGCAATTCTCTGAAAGAAAACGTAACTGACAGGTCCTTTCAACACACTGGCAAGAACTGCCAACAGTTAATGTGGGGTCAGAGTATATGAGAAGAGGCATATAAAATCACTGAATCATATATAATCACTGAAATGCGTAATCACTTAGCTAAGAAAAGCAGGAAGAGCTTTTGCCATAGAACGGCTTTATCAATGAAAGACTACTTCAGAAGAACCCACTAAGGATTGAATGGTAAACTAACAGTTATTGGTCAGATTACTGTCTTCAGAGACAAGGCTACTTCTAATGAAATTAAGAGTGGAAGTAGATTTTGTCTTAAAAGCAACAAGTATTCATTTCAGCCATGTACTGATCTTTAGCAGTTACTTTCATGTTGTGTGAAAAAACTATGTATGGGACTACCTTAGAGATGTTTCTCTTCTTCCTAAAACTAAAGGTACATTTCACAGAATCACAGAATGGTTAAGGTTGGAAGGGACCTCTAGAGAACATCTAGTCCAACCTCCCCTGCTCAAGCAGAAAGAAATTTTTATTTCGTTCCATGTATATTCAGTGCAAATTTAAATTCTCAACTGGAAAATGACACTAATTATATTTTCTGTGTAAACAAAATCAATATTAAGAGCTAAGGGCTAAAAGAATTGTTCTGCATTGGCAAGGTAAGCATTAAGAAAACAACAAAGAAAGCATCAACTTGAATCTAAATCTAGAATATAAATTTAAATAATACAAAGTCTATTAAATTTTTAGATAATCTAGATGGGCAAAACAATGCAACTTTCAGTATTTTAAAAAATTTACATCTTAGTTATGTAATAAGCTTATGCAGAAATCAGTATTTAGAAAGTAGAGGGGCCTGCAAAACATCAAGATTATGTTGCTTCAAGACAGAAACAACAGTATAATGCAAAATTAGCATAAGATTTTACTCCCAGCTCTGTCACTATAAATCTGTCAAAATTCCATTGGCTTCAGGAAAGTTTCCCTGAATATACTTAGGAGTTACTGAAAAAAAGTCAATTGTTGCAGTTGAAATTCTCAACTACTGAAAATTAGTATTATTGTCAAGATTCAGATGATCAGTCCTAAACATTTTGGAAATTATTCAAATTTTCATATCTCTCATTTTGTGTAATAAAGTAAAAGAGCAATTTCTCACCCTAATTAGCATCAACAGGATTAAGAAACAATTCTTAACTGTCTTCCCATGTGTCTATTTATAGCTTTAGATTCTGCATGCCTTGTCTTATGCACTCTCTCTTACTTATAAGCAGTTAAAAACTATTATTTGGCAACCAAATTTACACATGCCATAGATAGCTTATTCTCTGTCTTTTTATTTATAGGCCAACAGCTCTGCTCATATCACATAAAGTAATTCTACAAGAGCTACACTTAATTTTAAAACATCATTAATACTTGCAGTGAAGAAACAAAAATAAAAACAATACCTACATTTTGTGATACAGAATTTCTTAACACTCTTTATGAGCTTGGAGCAATGAAATAAAACACACAATATCTCTCTCATTGCAGAAAGCTTGACAGAACTTCTCTAAGATACAATATACAGCCTGGCACATACTTGTAAAAAAAACACAGAAATTTTAACACGGGTCACACAATCTGAGACTCAAACCATGGGTGAAAGATGAGCAAAAAATCCCTTTTAATGACATGTGGTGCTTAATGAAGAGGGGGAATATCTGCATTGTGTGAAAGAACTTGGATTAATATATATTTACCTGTCTAAGATTGCTTAGGGTTAATGCAAATGGATGAGTAACAGGAAGAAAGAGGAAATGGATCGGTGGTCAAAAATAAGACATTTTACAGGTGAAAAATTTCAACAGGTATAGAGAAGAATAGAGAAGCTGTTCACTGAGAAAGTCCTGTTTACAAATGTTAGATAAAGTCATACAGCTAGTTTCCAAGACTAAGGGCCTAACTGCTTAAGGACACTCAAAACTGAAGAGCTCTGGGGAACCCAGACTTGGCCTTGAGAGAGTATAAACTAAACAGACAAGCCAAACAAAATATGGTGAAGAGAGAAGGCCAAAGTCAGCAAAGTATCTGAGGTGATGGATTGCAGGCTTAATGCTAATTCCATATTTCATGTCTGTAGATTTAACCTAAATTATGGAGAATGGAAAAAGAGAGGAGATGGAAGAACAAAGATATTAAAAGCAGCCAGTTAATAAAAAAGGAAGAAAGTAATTAAGAAGTCTCAGTCATGAAAAATGAAGGGAATAGGAAAATATGGTGGCCATTTTTGGACTTTGCAGATTATTAGATAGATATCAGCCTGTTCAAACTCTGCACCAAGGTAATTACCACACTTCTCAAAGCTGACATACAAGCTCTTCTGTATACTCCTAAAAAAGGATATTCCACAGAAACACTAAATGAGACAGCTTTGATAGGTACCAAATAATTCCTATCTTTTCTGTAAACATTCTGAGGATTAAAGATGCTAAAAGACTTGACTAGAAGTGTAAATTCAAACATGGAACCTCACCAAGTTAAAGTTCAGACAGTAACTTGTTAAAAAACACTTGAAAACACAAACCAAATAGATGAAAACCAACAACTATAAGTTTTTCCTACTATAAGAACTCTCTGCCCAGATTCAAAAACACTGCTCTTAATTTTTCTATCCTGCTCCAAACAGAAGGATCTTAGATCATGACTTATTTCAAATTAAGTAGGTTTATTTTTTTGATGTCATTCATCCATGACTGGATGGTGACTTAACTAGATCAAATTAGATGACTTTCTAATGCAGCAAGCTTTTCCTGGTTGCCTTTTGTCACATACACTTTCAATCAAGTGAAAATGCATGACTCAAGGCAAGAAGTCTTACAGACGTCTTATATGCTTTGCAAACTTCTAATGTGAACCTATTCTTCTCAGTTTGAGAAATTTAACTTTATAGCTAAAATATAAGCAAGAGTGAACACAATTTAGTTACAATTCTAGTTTACAATTTAGAACCTTAATAGAATTGCAGCTATTTTGTTTCTTAGCCTTAGGGCATACATACCAAGCTTCCTACATCTGTTCAGGAAAGCTATTTAAGAAGGCTACACAAAATTTGTGTGTTATGAGTTTGACAAAAAACAGTCTTATTTCATTTGACCAGCTCCAAATTCTTGTAAGCCATACAGGCAAAGAGAAGTTATAAATTGCACACTTTGTACTAAATGACAATGTAACAAAACCTCTTTTGGATGAATTATAGCCTTTGCCTAATTATAACGTAAACAAGCTTCTTTCAGATTCAGATGGAATTGTAATGTAATGTACAGAAAATCAAAAGACCGTAAGTGTAAAAGCGCTGTGTTCAGGAAGCTAGGAGGGAGTGGTATGACCACTAGCATTTGAAAAGTTGGCTACCTCTTTTCTCACCAGGTATTGCAGGGATGACTTTGTCGTGGTGTTGTATTAACTGAATGCTACTTACGCGTGTGTTTTACTCTACAATGGACTTAGTTTCCTCAAAGCAGACAGGCAAGTGACAGATAGTTGGTAGCCTTTATTCTAAAACTTCAAGTCCTCATCTTAAAACCTGAGTGCAGACCGTTCTTATATAAAAATGCACACCTTTATTCCTTTCTAAATGGAAACTCTTTAAAAATATGTTACAACATGTTCTCAAGATGAGTATACTTATTAGACAAAGTTCCAAAGTGCAGAAGTACTAATAAGAGAACTGAAATAAGGTCTTTGGTTGAATTTCATTTCAGCGTTAGTAGCCTATCAGTGCCAGAACTGGTACATGAACACTCTACTGAAGCCAGCTTCTTAGTTTACTTCTAATTTGCTTCCTCTTGATATCCTACTCCTTTCCCCTCTAATATTCTTCAGTTTCTCTAAATACTTTGGAGTTTATTTTTCACAGAAAGAAGATCCTTACAAAAAGATGTGAGTCTTCCTAGAGGTACTTAGTTTTGTATTACTTTGGGACATTTAGAACACCATTACTTCATGTCACATAAAACAACAAGTACCCTTTCTGCCCTACACTTTCAAAAAGAATAATAATTCATTATGCAAAATTTGTCAAACAAGGCAAGCACATACCACACAGAACCTAAAACTTACATCTCATTCCAGTCCACAATGAAAAAGAAGGATCTTCTAGCTGGTATATTTTTACAGACCTTCACTTGACATATTGTCTTCCCAGCATAAGTTAATGAACAGGAAAAGGAAAAAGTTTTGTAGCTAGAGAAAAAAAAAAAAAAAAAAAGATTAATTGTAACGTAACATGTTCAAGGAAGTAAATTTAGGGCTAGTCATGCAGAAATGTGTGAAGACCCACCCTTCTTTATAGAAAGAATTAAAATAATGGCTCTCATAAGAATGTTTTAAAAAACAGTATTCTTTGTAGTCAGTTCAAGCAACATCCTTAACACTCTTAGATTCTGCTCCATATTTTTGTCTATTTGGCTGTTTTTTTTCATTATTGCAATCATGGAGAGCATTGACATAAGTTATGAAGTGTTACAACTTGTTTATCATACAGCTTCAGTCAAGTAAATCTAACTGCACTAGTATTTCCTAATCTATGAAAAACAGGATAATCCTTAAGAGAATGCAAGCAATTATGTGAGCATTAGAGTGCTGGCATTCTTCAGATACTCCTTTGGCTAGCTTCACAGTGTAATTTCATATTGTTCTTAACGAAAGCTTATTCAATAATAGTCTAAAATAAAGGAATATTGTAAAATCAACTAACTGGTCTTACAACTTAGCTGGTCTTAGTTGGTAATTTCCCTATCTTCCTCTATAAAATTGCCCCTCTGAGTTTTAGGTCATGTTCTATACAAGAACAATGGATAGCAGAATAAAGCAGCACATCTGAAGATAACTAAAATTGTGTGGCTTTGCCTCATTTATAGGTATGATGATCTTTTTTAGGACATCATAGTAATTGTTATAATTATTGTAGTTTTTTTTTTTCTTTGAATTCAAATAAGATCTGATATTGGAAGTATCTGTAAGATATCCATGCAGAGAAAGCGAATACTTTACTAGTACCAATAGGAAATGCTTATGCTCTTAAAAATGGTATTTTTCTTCTAAACAGTATAAACAACTGGGTGATAGTGCAGGAAATAATAGATTTCAAAAAGATTATTAATTGAGCAATGCTGTTTAAATACAAGTAGTGATACCTATGTACTTTACGGTCCCAGTCCTGAGAAGTTAATGCTTACACAGTGCTTCAGTCGAACTGAAGTCAGAAAGTTTCTTCAGAGTGCATGCCCTTCCACACAATATATGTCTTTACCTGCCCACAGGATAAAAGGTATGACTCTCTGGTCTTGTCCCAAAGACCACTTTGGATCATCCACAAATAGATAGGTACCTGATTTCCCAGGCTGAAGACACAAACATAGCTAACTATGATTCTAGCAACATTATGCCACTAGCAACATCTGCTCAGAGAGAAAGCAAAAAACACTGATAAAAGAAGGAGGAAGGAATGAAAATACAATAAAGAAAAGCAGTCTGTTTTCTTACATCGTTTTGCAGTTTGTAAAGTCTGTGCTTACCTTTTTAAGGAGGACAGTAAGAGTGGAATAGGTAGTTAAGAGCACAAACACAAAATTAATGACAAAGAACCAAACCAAGCTTCAGAGGCACTTGAGTAAACACGATTCTGTAACATAGATCCCTCTCTTTTATCCCAAGCCACTAGAAGAAAAATTATTTATCACACAGACATACAGTAAACCAACGTGAGATAGATAGTGAGAGACTGCAAAATACTAAGCATGTTATGACAGCAGCAAGATGCAACATGGCCAGCACAGAATTAGGCAGTGCTTCAGAAATAAGTCAAGGGAATACAAATAGTGTTAGTAAAAGGATTTGAGGAAGGCAGCCATCAGAGCTGCAGTCCATGACAAGAAGTATATGTTAGCTAAGAATATTGGAAAGTTAGAATTGGGAGATTAAAGAGGAAGAGAGATTCTCATTTTCAGAGGCTTGAATATAGTGCTCAAGTCAAGAGGACTTTAGACCATGTATAAATTCACATTTTACTGGAAAATCATAAAATGCAGTGCGAATGGTGTAACCATCTGCAAAATCAGGACAGTGAGTATAGTTCTGTATTTATTACCTTAACTTATTACCTTAACGCAAAGTCTCTCAGATTTTTATTAAACTGCTAATTACAGCTAAATGTCGTATAGTACACTCTTGCTCACAGTTTAATGCAAATGATCCCACTGCTTTTTAATCAGTCATCTGGAATTCAAGGTAAAGTGGAAGCAAGGGGAAAGTATTAATAAAAACTTGGAGAATAGCATCTTTACCCATAAAAATAATGTTGCCAGACTGTAGTTTTCTGTCCTCCTTTAATTACTTTGAAGCAGTAAGAGGAAAATACTGGGTTTATTCCATGTAGAAAACACAGCCATTTGAAGAGACAGCTAATTTGAATAAATAAACAATGTGGAAGAGAATATTTTAATAAGCTTTTTTTATTAAAGCTGTCTACATTTTTGCTTTCCTCTGCTGTGCTGACACACTGGTTACACTTAGACCAATAAATTATAATTCTTTTAACTACCATCTATCTATAAAGAGAAGTTTGCCAATGCAATGCTTAGCGAAGTTATGTGATTTGAATACATCAAAAGCAAAAAGTGCTGATAAGGCCATATTCAGACTGGCTTTAAGCAAGCACATTTCTCTAACTTGGTAAGTTGGTCTTCAGCTCTTCAAGTTACTTGTGCTGCACAGACCACATGAAGTCCTGACCCAAATCTCCTCCCTCCCTCTGAGCAGGTAGGTCATACAAGCATACCTAACCACATCCATTAAGGCCGATGGTCTGAACCAGCTTCTGATCAAGGACAATAGCCCAAGTCAACTCATTAAGTCTCCTAGGAGACTTGAAATCTCCTAGTCAGTCAGTTTCAGTGCAGTTTATGCTAGAAAAACAGTGGAGATGATAGATGCAGCAAGTTCTCAATCTCTAAGATGAATCTAAGAGTAATACCAAACCTGTGAAAGAAAATTAGTGTCTTTGAAACACGCGCAGCTGTAAGAACTGAGAGACGGCATCTCTTCTTCAGAACACCTACTGAAATTTCCTACCTGCTCACCCAAGCTTCTGGGATGTTATGGGCAGCATAAACAGTGAAGCTGAGCTGGGAATCTAGGTTGATATCTGCACATGAAGGACTTCTAGGTATGTTGGCAAGCTGAAAACCTGTATCAAAGCTGCTGCTGTAAACATGGATGAGGTGAGAGATGGCCAAGGAGAGATCAGTCACAGCATCTTCTATTAATGCTGGGGAGAGGGAGAGAAATAGAGGTTAGCAATAGGTCATTTGAAAAAGAAGCATATTTATCTTAAACCATCAGTTACAGGTTTGAAATGCTTCCTAATAAAATTTAATTAAAATAACATAACCTACCAACTGAAGCCAATTAGCCATCTGTGCTTCTGAAACCAGCCTTAGCTCATTTCTATGTATGTAATGAAATAGTCTTTCATTACAGTGCCTTCAAATTAAGGCATTTTCAAAGTAAGTCTTTTAAACTACAACCAGCCAGTGTGGCTCATATATGTCATTTTAGTCTCTTCATTTTTATTATGTAAGAGGTTTTTATTATGTAGGCATTTTGCAATTTCTGCTGCTACATGGCTACTTATTTGAAGGGAACCAGCAACACAGCATAAGAGAGGAAGAAAGGCATTGATTGCATTTTAAAACTACACAGCTGTTGCAACTGTAGGTAGACAACTCATGAAATATATATAATAACAGCCTCACTCAAGTTTACTAAGCATTCAGATGGTCATGGATTGGTTGTAACGCTCCACAATGACAGACAGAAAGATACATATCTACAAGGATATGTCAAGTGCAGGCAGTACATCATTTCTATCACACCCCTATTTACATTACTTCATTTGGCTTCAGCTCTGTGTTGCTCTTTTTCTGCAGTCACTGGCATATGTTTCTGGAGCAGCTAGGGACTATGTGATTGCCAGTGTAAATTAAAATTCCTGGGTCTGACAGCCTTCATCGGGGGAGCAGAGCTGTAACAACAGTTCCTTGAATCCCCAGGCACAGAACATCATGAGAGAGAAAGGGGTGTGCACATGTGTCAAGGTGCACTGCATCAATCTCAGATCAGCATGCTCTGTCTTCCAAAAGGGCTACTTGAATTCTTGCTCTTTTCCTCCATTTCCCACATGTCTACATGATTAAGATGTACTCTCAATACCTTTGGTCACAATTCCTAACATGTTTTTCTATACCATGTCCTGCCAGAGCTCTTAAGAGAATCCTGCCCTACACCAGATACAAATCCAGCTACTCACTGGACTTAGTTCTCATTTTCCTGCCAGAAACATCAAAGAACACACCCTAAGATTGCTAGTTTCTATCTTTTGCATTTAAACTAGCAAATACTCCAGATATTTGAGTCACAAAATCCATGGGTAAAACTGTGATGGATTTATTTCAGCCTTCATTTGAATCTAAACAGATTTCAAATATGTCACAGCACAAGAGCACATAACATTAGAATAGTTTGACATATCCTGGGGTTTGCTCCTGGATATACTGACACCACATTACATTCAGCAACGACGGGCTAGAATTTCTGTACTGTTTAAATCATCTTCCACATATGACAAAAAAAAATTTTAGAGATTAATCGGATAACAAAATCTATTTTTTTACTCCCTATTTATATATACACTTCTGTACCTAGTATTGTATTTCTACCCTCTTTTTATTCATTCTATTTATTATTTCCTCAATTTATCCTCCTTTATCACAATTGTTCCAAATATATCTTTTGCTCTCATGCATCTTCCCTAGGCTACCACTTCATTCTCAAATTCATCTGTCTTGAATTTGTCACAACTCAGTACCTTCCAAACTATAAAATGCCAAATTTAAAACTTGTACTGTATTCTTCAACATTCTAAGCAATTAACCACAGCAATTTGCATAAAACCTTCTTAAAGAGTTCCAAAAGAGGACTTCACTGGATTATGATTTTAGTACTGCAAGGAGAATACTATATTTGATGAAATGAAGATTTTTGAACCAAAACTTTCTGTTTTATCTAAAAAGTAACATCCCACATATTAGGAGAAACAGGTATTTTGGAAATTCCCTGGCTCCAACCAAAGATGGGTAGATATAATATCAAGTCCTTGTTTATGCAAACTGACCGACTGAAGTGAATGGTTGTGGAACAGAACCTTTCCTTTCCTGTGAAAAGGGTGAAAAACAGTTCAGAATCTTTGTAAAATTTCCTGATGTTTGCTAAAATATACCTTTTGGCTAGCAAGAGTTTTTACACAATCCATAGTGTATTTTTACACAATCCAGCATGGTATTGAGAAAAATATTTTGCCTAATAGAAAATTCGCAAATGCCAGGCAAAGAAGAAACTAAGGTGGAATTTATCTATCTCCAAATACAAAGCATCTTGTCCATAGGCCATATTTGCAGAAGAATGATTCTAATCAGTTAGCTGAGAGGAAAAAAAATAAAATAAAAAAAAAGGAATACCAAATTTTGGTAGAACCTGCCCATCCTGCAAGATCCATGTGGTTAAATGGCACAGGGTTAAAAGTCCTCACTTAGTTACAGAAAATGTCAGAGAGGCTGCCTGCCGAAGGGGGCTGGAAAGCTCTATTCTTGTTCTCTCTCTCAAAATAAATTCCATCTTTTGCCCAAGGGCTTCTCATGTCTGTGCCCGGCTGCAGAAGCTGAGCTGGTTTCAGAAGGGCTCAGGGGCATGACAGTCTGGTTCTCTTGCTAAAACAGGGACAATCCGTCTGTCTGCTAGTAAAGGGAGACAAATGAAGCCTCAGCACTGTGAGCAAATGTACAAGTACAACCTGGTCTGTAGCTGTAAGATTTTTTCCTGTGTTTGTTTTCTTACTCTTCTCAGCTCTCAGTTTAAAACCATTCTGTGGCTTCTGGATTATAGTCATGCTCTTTAACCCCTGCTCCCTGCTCATTAAACCCAGTGTCAATTAATTAAATTACAGTTCAACACTTTAGCTAGTCTGTGAGTGTCCATTACTCACTAGAGCTACTCAACATCTTTTCCTTGTAGTTCTGTGAGCTGCTGAATAAGATTTAGTGTGCTGCAATTACATCACCTAGATAATCTTACTGCTTTTTATCACTTTTATGATTCATCTGTCTAAAATGAGAAAGGAATATGATGTTTCACTGATTTACATAGTACAGGATGTAAACTTCCTACAGCATTTGCACAGCTTTAGATATGCCATACCTAGGGGAATGAGGAATACACCACATCACAAGGTGGACTGTGACCAAGATTAATCAGCTCACAACCCCAAGACTTGTAATTTATTTCTGGTATGAAATTAGTTAGCATCACTTCTCACTGCCACCTTGGCAGATATGACATGAGTCAGGAGGGAGGTGAATGCTAGCCTAGGCAAAAATCAATACATGACTCCCAGATATGCTTATTTTTGACATGTGTTCCTTGTACATGAAATCTGGAGATATGAATTTCACTCTTGGTGAGAAACAAAATAATCCACGCAGTCCCCCAAAGTGTTTATAAATATACATGCACATGCCATCAAGATTTAGTAAAGATCACAATAGATTATTCCTTACAGCACACCACTTTCTTTCTTCTTCTCAGTCTAATATTATGATTCCTACATTAGTTCAGGGCCAGGCCTTCTAACAAAGTAGGTGTTTTGCTGTTCATGTACTACCAGATTATATGAATTCAATACGCCACGCTTGATCCTTTGTACATATTTTCTCCAGATAAAAAATGCAAAATATCTGATTGAACAGAATCTTGGAGAAAGAAATAATACTCATACGATACTTTAAGGATATTTTGTAAAATGTAAGCATAATATTGTTCCTTATCACTTATTTTCAGAAAGAGGAAAGAGGAAGAAGAGCAAGGTCCTAAATACACTTACTGTCCATATGAAAAAAATAAAATAAAAAAATGTTAAATAGTGTTAATTAGACCATTCAAATGGTCTGATTATGGCTTGCTAAGGAAGCAGCAAGACATTAAGAGATTATGATGTAAGAAGTGATGAGATACAGCGTTTCCAAGCAGGAATATTTATCCAATTTTTGGATAAATAAAAACTTAATTGGAACACTATCTCCTTGTTACATGAAGAATCCTGTGCATTAACCCTTGAAAAAACACTTCCACTTTTAAAGAGAACAAGTTCATTAAGCATATCATCATCAAGATATCCATTTCTACAGTCAGCCCAAAAGACAGCGACTCCATCAGTTCAGCCAGAACAGACTTTTGATTGACTGTCATCAGTCCATGCTGCATTCTGGAATTTCTGGGAAGATGTGCCAAAGACCTATTGATCAAATTCCAAAAGCTGCTTCTTTTGTCTGATCCAGTGAAATTCCTGCTTGAAGTTACAAGGCTGCGGGCACCTGTACAAAGGTTCATTCATCAGCTTTTGAGAAAGACACGCGGATTGAATTTGGCGTTGACTTGAAGTCTAACTTTCTATCCAACAACAATACTAAATCTTTATTAACTTGAATTTGTTTATTCATATTGTTTATTCATATTCTTATTCATATATGATTCATATGTGATATGAATATTCTTATTCATATCATATATGAATATTATTCATATCATATATGAATATCATTCATATGTGAACATTCCTATTCATATCATATTGTTTATTCATATTCTTTTATACTGCAGATAGGTGGCAATGTCTAGAAATTCTTATCTTTCCTCACAGTTGAGAAGAAAGAAGAAAAGGAAAATACAGTTTGAGAACAAAGACATTAACGCAATTTTTCTGAGGTCTTCAGAAAGAGACCAGAACATGACCCAGACTTAGACTTAACATGAATACCGCTCTGTTCACAGTGATGAAATAATATGGTCCACAAAGGTAACATAGTTATTGTAACACTAAATGGCAGTAAACTACCATTATTAGTTACTGTAACACTAAATCAAGGTTTGAGATCTTGAACACTGACTTTGATCTGTTTTGTCCATTTCTAACGACTCAAACCTCTTTTTTTTTTTTTTTTTTTTATTAGGAAAAGAGATTAAAGCATTTTCTAACCGAATTAAATACAGCTTTAATTACAGTAGCATTCTTTATCTTCTTCCTTTTTGTGGTAAAGAGAATGTATAATGAAGACAAACAAAATCCTGTTTGACAGTCTTTAATGATACTCAAGGTAATAATAAATATAATTTGGGGAAAGAAGGAGGAGAGGAAGAAAAAAAATCTAGTTGGAGTAAATGATTGTTCGTGTTAAGAGCTTGATTCTGCTTTCTTGAAGATAACATGAAGTTATGTATAAAGGACAGGAAAAAGCAATATGAATACTAAATGCAGTCTGTCTCCTCCCAGATGTGATAGCTAACTTCATTTGCAAGTGTACTGGTAGAAAAAGCAAAGCACATGCTCTTCAGCTTCCCTGAGATCTTGCAAAAACATATCAGCACCAGACAAAGATGGTTATTTTTCTATGTTTTAGGTTTACCAGCTAAGCATAATAAGTAAAAGGAGAACAGGAAGCAAACGAGGTGGAAAATTTTATGCAAAGGTGGTTTCATGAAATGTGTACTTATCACCTTTCAGGTGTTACAATAAGTTTTTACTTACTGGGTGAAAATATCATGGAGATTCCTCTCAGTTTCCCCATGTGAAAGGATGAGATCCCGCCCCCAGACCCCTGGCATTATCAAGAAGGTGAGCACTGAGGAGGTAACTAACTGAGCAGTGCTGATGTTCCCCTCAAATGGAACAGACAAAATATCTTTATTCAAAAAAAGTGAAATATTTTTTGAAGGTAAAGTAGCTTTATTCACTTCTTGGCGGTAAGATGTAAGTGCCTAGGTGTACTAGGGCCAAGTTCCACCAGACTGGTTTGGGGCTATTGCTGTTACACTTCACTGGTTTATCAGACATAACCTTAACCTGTTTTTCGACTAGACCTTTCTGATCAAACTCTTTAACTTAACATTAAATATTTCGCTCGCTTTCAGAAACAATTTCATGTAGCAGTTCTAACTGCAATGTAAGTACTACATTAACACATACATGAAATGTACAGTGTTGCTTGCAATAGGCCAAGGTATCCACCTTGGTTGCCTCGGACAACTCTGACTGGAGGCTTCTCTGCAGAGTTACTACCATGCTGACAAGCTCTGACTTGCAATTGCAGTTTCTCCTATTACCTTGCCAGATGGATTCTGCAATCCTTACGGCATTAAGGGAGTGTCAGGAACGCATCAGGCCTTGTGGCTGAAGGTTTCCTGGCACAAACAGGTAGCTGCAGAGAAGTAAAGTGCCAAAAATCTACTAGTTACTTTAATATTGCTTAATAAATCTCTCTCTCTCTTTTTTTTTTTTTTTTTTTTTTTTTTTTCCCCCCTTGAGGAAGCAGCTCATTCATTGTAGTCCAAGTCCAAGTTTACAAGTATCCTTTAACACAATAATATTTTAGAGCCTTTCCAGGCAGGTTTTCTGAAGAGTGTGTGGAGGAACATGCTTCAGGCATAGATACTGATTTGTAATTATTAATTCATTTCAACTTTGTCAGATTGTTGTCAGTAGTAGAGCTAGACAAAACTCATGGACTAATAGTCTATATCCAAGGGAGAAGAATCACACAAACCACGTTTACCTTCTCCTTCCTTCGGCACTTGCATGTCCGTCCCATATTCCCCTGACCTCCAGCTGCTTAGCTTCTACTGGCAGCTAGAAATATGATTACTGTGTGTTGCTTTGTTTGCTGATCATGAAATTAAGTAACAGTGAAACGACAAGCCTAGCACTAAACCACCTCTGTGCTTGAAAGGCTGCTATAATCTCTCTCAGAGTCCACTGCAGTTAAGATTGACAGATGGAGAAAGAAGAAAACAGAAAAGACATCTAAATGGCATCTAAAAGACATCTAAATCACATTTTTTCCCTCTCCTCCTCCTCCAAAGAATAGAGGAGACCCAGCTGACAGTTTCCACATTGGCCCATGTCCAACATACATATGGTGGCCTCAATGCAAGCACCATCAAAGCCCTTTGGCTGCATGTCCCAGTCCAGGAACCCAGCAGGGCAGCACTCCAAGACCTGGTCCTGGCTGTCAACTCCATGAATTTGGCACAGGAACCAACTAGAGAGCAAACATACCTCAGTTTGTGAGGTGCTGCACAGAACCGCTGACAGACCAGCCATTAGCCACTGAGTCTAGACTAATGAGATTATAGGGAGGGATTCTGTGAGTGTGAGTCTATGCCCCATTACTATTATTAGCCTATCCTCCTTGTTGCAGTATACCAGGTAACAGAAAACAACACACAGTTTAAATAACAAAAGGCAGAGAACTGAAATTTAAGGAGGAATAGCAATTAATGGAGTAGGGGAGAAAAGCCACACAAAATCAAATTTTCAAGAAATAACTGTTTTTTTTTTCCCCTGCTAGAATTAAGGGCAACTACTAAAAATAGCAGTATTAGCACTGCAGACTGTAATATGTTCTTTCCCTTTATTACTTACTCTCCATATTTGAATCTCCAGATTAGTCTTAGGATATGCTATGTTTTATTTATATAACACTTTTATTTTAAACTTATCATAATTACCTCATACTATGACTAAATATGCAAATATCTACATTATGTTAGCTGCAACACTTAACTAATACAAGTAAGTAACAAAATGTGTGTTTTCTGATAATTTACCTTGAATTAACATAATTAAAATAAAGAACACATTACCTTTGCCTGGCATTTCCATGCTTGGAAGTGAATTCTATAAAGACAAAAACACAAGAGGAAATGTAATCATTTATTTCAGAAACGACCAAAAGGTACTTATGAAGATGTTAGGAACAGTACTGAGGGGAAAAAAAAAGGCAGATTTTTTTCTGGAAGGGAGACATATCCCAATGGTGTGATGAGAGAGGGCACAACTGGGATCCTTCTGGGCACTCCATCCACTCCTTTCACCATTGCAGATAAGTCACTTAGGACCATGTTTTGGACAGTATTCAGGCATGCTGAGATACAAAAAGGCACTTATCTGCGCTGGAGGTGCGCACACATTTTCTGCCTCTGTACGGTATGAGGGAGATACGCAAAGGCAGCAGGAGGGTGTTCTTATCTTGTCTCTTCACACCTGAGCTCCACATCCAGCGCCTTGGCATCCTCACAACATGGAGGAGCACCAAGTCCCCAGGCAGGCGGCCTACATTTCACCTGTATCCCTACTCCAAAGCTGCAGAAAGAGCTGTCTACTTGGAAGGTTTCGGAATAGGCTGCTCCTGGAGCTGGCCAGCAGGAAATAGGAGGTGTGGGAGCCATTTAGGCTGCCTGAGCCTGGCTCCAAACAATTAGCACTGAGGCTGCCAGCTTTCATTTAGACATCTAATTCAGAGGATTTTCCCCTCACACAGGAACTGCAAGGTGCTCTCTGAAAGATCAGGCCAGCTATTTTGCCCAGGCCAATCAGACCACCAAAATAAATAAATAATAATAAATAAATATATACATATATATATATATATAATGGTAAGTGCCAGACTTAATTGAACCAGATGACACGGAAGTCCGTCAGTGAGATCCAGTTCTTAACCATACACAATAATAAGCCAAGTTGGTATACCAGGATGTAGATGGCTTCTACCCTCTTTGAACCCACATGCCCAAAGGGTGTGTTATCATTCTGAATCCATTTGCAACTCTTTGAGCAGCATGCTAGTACACATGGATTCCACAAGATCTTCCTTAAAAACTCCAGGTCACTCCCATGTGACACAAGTACTGTGCTAGATACATGTCCTCCCATAAGTACTTGCCTTGGTGTTGCCAAAGTTTACCTGGTAAATATGAAGGAAAGCCAAATGCTTACTTGAGGGGAGAAAGAAATGCTCTAGGTTGAGAAATACATTCTCACAATCTTTTTATGCAGCAAGACAAATGGGAACAGAAACCTTTGTTCAATTCTCTCACATTTGGGAAAGTAAACAATCTTTTGGAACAGTGCTTATAATTTCAACACAGTCTAGCCCATTTTATATATAGTGGATTAATGCCTGTTCTGGCAGGATTTTATCTCCCAGGACCTTTTGTGAGCTGCTATAAGAAAGAGAAAAGGAGATGAAAAACCTTGATTATACAGCAGGCCCAGAATTTCTCCTGAAAGCGTTTTTAATTCCCAGGGTTAGGGTGGTTAGAAATTGAATGAATCACATTTATAAAGAGACACAACTAGTTCAAGAAGAAACTATTACTGGTGCCAATTGCTTTCATAATCTCTTAGCCACAGTACAGGACTTCACAATATTGGCAGTAAGGAGGCAAAAAGAGTAGTTTAATTAAATACAGGATATTGGAAGAAATTTCCTAATTTTATTTTCCCTTTTTTGCATATTGCCAAAATTATATTAGAGATTAATATATATATTTTTAAGCACGCACACATACATGTATAGATGTGTAGACAGACACATATAATCACACTCACCCTATGTAATGTACACTGGAAGGAACAAGTAGCAGTTTCCCTGAAGTGTTATGTTCACATGGATCTTGCCAAATGGATGTGTTAAAAAGCATACCACACAAAACCACACCATGTATTAAAGCATCGGGAAACCATGGTGAAAAAGCAATTATAACTTATATTCTGGCATTTCTCCATTAGCTAATGTGCAATGCTGGAGATGTTACAGGTAGCTTCAAAATTTTCACTTCAGTTTTATGCAAGTTATTTGATTGTCTAAAAAAAAGGGTGATCCTTGTAGTGGTTAGACACCCTTCCTCTCTCCCATCATAACAAAAAGTCTTAGGAGTGCTAAGCTGATAAGCATAATAGAAACACTCCAAGCAGACTGACAAGATAAGCGAATATTATAGGATTTAATTATTCTGCCAGTACTCACGAAAGTACGATGGAGCCAGAATTCTAATTCACACAAAATGCCTCTACACTTCAATGTGATTTTAACTAAAAAAAAAAAGGTTTAGAGGAGCTGGTCCTCCACTGAACATCAAATATTAATTTTGGCAACATATGTTAATACTGAGAGAAGTGAAATTACATACAGTGAAGAGCTGGTCCACAGATTTTGTATAATATCGATAAACACAATCTTATTTGTTATATACTTATATATACTTTTTATGTTTTACACAAGATATTTACATACAATGTATAATCTTTATTTTTAAAAAATGGGATACTGTTTGTGTTACAGAGCATGCAGAAATCAATCTAATTGCTTTTATGACATTTATAGTTCAGCTGCTGCTGAGCAAGATAAAGCTCTTCATAAAAGCAAACAAACTTTTTTCTGGATTGCTGAAGTCTACTCGAATGTACTCGCATTCATTTCTCAAAGGAATAAGGAGCAAGAAGCAGCAGCAACAGTATTTGCTGCGGCAGGAGCAGTTTGACTTAAGCCTCCCACCTTTTTTTTTCTTTTTTTTAAGGTCAAAGTCGGTTGTTAATCAGGTCTGCTTCACCAAGTAGGAGTAAGGCAGGGGAGGAAGTCTCAGGCAAGGTCATGGACAGTCTCTACAGAAAGGCTTCAAGGGACAGACAACTAATTCAGCTAACCAAACTTGAAAGGAAATGCTGAGAGAACTGACAACTCAGTAACTTAAAATGATATTTCTTTAGAAAATGTGTAACAATCTGATCAGTATTATCCAAAAGAAATATGGAGACAACAAGCAGTTTGTTATGTGAATATTAGGACAGAAAAATATTTTTAAGACTAGTAATAAAATATTCTACCAGGAGCGAATCTTTTAAACATTCAATGGAGAGTATTCAGAAGCAGTATCATTTCACTCATTACAGGTGAGCAAACATCATCATTATTATCATCACTGCTTATCATCTGTAGCCTCTGGAGATTCCAGCTGGGACCAGCACTCCACTGTGCTGGATCCTGTACATGTAGATAAGAGGAGCCATTCCTGACTCTGAAGAGCTTACAACATAAATAACAACACCGAAAACAAGGAAAAAAATAGTATTATCATTCCTTCTGTGCTAGGAAATACATGGAAGTGGCTCAAGAGAAGCTGGATATATTGGAGTGAGTCTGTACAGGAGAGTTGGAAATAGGACAATGACTACCTGGGAACACTACAGACATTTTTTTTACAACAGAATATATCAGTTCATAATTCAATTATATGTCTGATAATGATAAATTCTTCTGTAAAATCATACCATTGCTTGTATGACAGTGACTCAGAAGGGAAGCAGAAACAAACACGGAAACATTGCAAAATACTAGATTCAAGAAAGATGGCCTGCACTTTTTTTCCACCTGCACAGAGGAAACCATGCAAAGCTCTTTCTATTTCTTTTATTTTTCTCTGCACTAGTCCTCCAGAGCACAAAGAGAACAGTTAATAAATGGAATCTTTTTTATTTCCATCTAAATCAACATGTCAGATAAAATGTATGCTGGAAGTTCCTCAAAATAGTCATTTCCAATAATTAATGCTGAAGCGCAGACACAGTTATTTAAGAGGCTATATAAGCAAGTCTTAGAGTGAGCTACGACCTAGAAACTCGGGAAGAACTTGGAGAGCATCAGTTGGTCAGGGCTGAGTAACAGCAACAAGAAGCGGAGCTACATTGTTTCTTACAACTGGGTCTGTAACAATACTTGCCTATCCGTCATTTGAATTCGGAAAACTCTAGCTTTCAGTGGGATCATACTCATCTAGCTACTTCCAGAAGGGCCTAGCTGGTTCCATCCACGGCCACGTAGCAACATCTGTCCAGTTATCTTTAGCATCCCCTGTCCCAGAAACACAGATCTAGGATTTACTTCCAAGTGAGACCTTCAGAGTGCTGCAAGGGATTTTCTAGACTTTTTTTGCTTGGTTTATATCTAATTTGGAAGGTACTGCTGTGCCACCATGTGAATAAGAGGAATGCATAGAGGTTAACAGAGAGATTTAAGAAAGATTTTCTGAACACCGCTTAAATCTGTTCAACTGACATGCTTCCTGCTCTCCGGTGAGACATTTCGCCTCTCAGCAAGAATTTTGCCCGTGTAAAATGATGACTATATGAGGGTTAACAACCTGTCAGAAGGAAGTTTATACGGATGGCAGTATATAATTAATTTGTTGGATGTCACTCTCACACTTTCAGAAATGGCATGAACAGAACTGAGTCAGCCTTCCCTTATCTCAGACTGAGGACCTCAAACTGCTTATCAGCCATATTTAATATTTTTTTTTTAGGTTGTTGAGCATCTAGTTAACATTCACTAGTTAATCTAATTAACAAAGGAAGTAGTGTTTCCTTTTTTGTGTGTGTGTGTGTCCTAAGGGTTCTTACACACTTTTCACAAGCCATGGGCTAAAATCCACTGACAGAAAGAATAATAGCTTTTGTACACTAGCTATTGCTGGAGGAAACAAGTAGCTTGCTCAATATGGCATAATTTCATAAACAAATTGAGAAAGAATTGTAAGACAGACGAAAGAAAGAAAGAAAGAAAGAAAGAAAGAAAGAAAGAAAGAAAGAAAGAAAGAAAGAAAGAAAGAAAGAAAGAAAGAAAGAAAGAAAGAAAGAA